TGCAAATTGCCCAATATTTCATCCATGAAGCAACATTTTTCAAGTTATTTTAAATCTTGAGAGTATACTTCAAACCCCGGAAACCGTTAAATTTCTGTACATGGAAAAAAAAGAGGGGGGGTTTGGAAGAAGCCGGCCAAAATATTTGTTTTTTACTTAGTAAAGTGTTTAAAAGTCTTTTATTTCCCCTTAAGCCTTTTTGCCCCAATCGTCAAACTCAGTCTTTTTTTTCAGTTCTAGTCCCTTTCTGTTTCTATTTTAAATTTTAAACCTTTTTAATAGTTTTCATTGGAATTTGGTTTTAACAAATTTTCAATTTTTTTTGGTTTTTCGTTTTTTTTCGACCATTTTCCCTTTCCGGGGTTTTAAAAACCCCCTTTTCGGTTTTTAAAAGTTTACATTTTAAATTTAATGTTAAAAATAAAAGAAATAAAAGGAAAGAACGGAAATTTCTTAACTATCCCCTTTTTGAGATAAACCCCCGCTTTGTCCCCCGTTTACCAATTCCGTCAAAACGTCAGCACGTTCGTAAAAAGGGAAAAATAAAAATTTGCTTTGGGTACTAACCCCAAACTCAACTCCTTACAACGATTCCTTCATAAACGGAGTCGGGCCATTTCCTTCGTATCCTTTTTCCCTTATCTTTTAATTTTGGGGGCCAGCCTTGTTTTAAATTTTTGGCCCAAAAGGAAAAAACAATTCCCCCTAAAAAAACCCTGGTTTTTTCCCCCCCTTGCACAGAAAACGGGGGATTTTGGGGGCCCGATTTTTTGGGAAAAAATTTGTCCTTTCTGAAAAATTTTTAAGGGGAAAAAAAACTTTGTTGAGGGGTCCCTTTTTTCGGCATTTAGTAGCAATTCCTTTTTGGGAAAAAAATCAAAATGTCCCTAAAAAAAAACCTTTTTTCTGCCCATTTTCTGCAAAATTTACAATATTTGGGGGGCTCCCTCCCTTTTAGGGAAAACAGCAGATTGAACGCAAAGGGCCAAATTTCCCTCACCTTTTATTTTGTATGACTTTGTAATGCCTCGGACACCACAGTACATGTTGCTTAGATCCAAGACCAATCGTTGTAGTGCCGTCTGCATTGCTGTCATAAATATAACATTTGGCCGTGCGTTCTACAGGAAATGACATCATAATTTCATTTTGAGATGACATGTGCTGCCTCTTCTTTGCCATTTCCTCGTTTACGCCAATGTCATCAAGCACTTGAGAAAGACATAGCGATATATTGTCAAGGTCAGGTGTCTTTGACATCCTTCTGAAAATATTTTCATGATAAAGTAAAGGAAGTATTTATACAATGTTCTCCATTACTTTTTACCATATTACTTGTTAAAAAATATACCGTAAGTTCATTTTGAACTTCACAATTCATTTCTTCATTTGAAATAAATGTTTAGTCATCAGTCACTATTATAGATAATATAAGCAATCATGATTGTCCAATCAAAGCTGTTAATACAAAAATATTATGCAATATGAAGTACTATATACATGTAACTTTATGTTTAAAGTATTTTTAGAGGCATTGTGTTTTGGTATAGTCTTTGTTAACATCATAAGCAGAATAATGGCTAACAATGGCTAAAAATGGTTAAGAAAGATCTATGAAAAATAAGTTTGTTTTAGATTAAAACAAATTGCTATATAGAAATTTAAAGGAACTCCACTGAGGTTCTTGACAGACATAAAAGGACCAGAAATATTCGAGATTTGTGTTTCATTTAAATTAGTTAATACAAATTTATTTTAATACCATTGTGTGGGAAGCTGTCAGCTCACTGAAACATTCTCGAATCCATTCCTGGAACTAGCCATCACTTTACAATGAGTGTTAAGTTTCTTGCTTAAAGAAACAACAGCTTGCCCCTGATTGGGTTTAAACCCACGCGGTCAACAATCCTTAGATAACTTGTCCAGGCACGCCGCCACACTAAACCAAAATTTAAGATCATTTGCTCACTGTGTTTGTATAGAATGCTAATTTTTATTGTTACAAAATGATCCAAAATTGAAAGCATTTGAATGCTTTTAACACACATCAGGTATAAAATTTCTCAAATAATCCATTTTCAATATCATTCTGAGCATGCCACATCATTATCTGTTCTATATTTTGTCACGTTAGTGCAGTAACAAGCTAATGCCTTATATAATTTAATAGGAGTTAACCATGGTGATGGTTTTTCCCATTTCAAGAGCGCCAATTGCTCTTAGTAAGAATTCAAAATTTTACGTTCTAATGCATTTAATTTTGGACCTCAGTGAGCCTCTTTTAATTAACTCTTAGCCAGCACGCGGCCACAGATTCTACTCATGCGACCAGTGCAGTCCATGATCAGCCAGTACATCCTTGCCGTTTGATCATGGTCCGCACTGTTTGCTGTTCCTTTAATACATATTTTGGAATTTCCCCCTGAAAACGATGAATGGTTTTGCCTGGTTTGAAATATGCACAAGTCCATATTAGATAAACGTACTTACATGTAACATGGTAAGGGTTGAAAGAGGTGATAGTTTGTTATTTGAATAGTACTCACTTGATTTATCTGACCATATTGTGGTGCAGAATATCAGCTCCTGTGTCGTACTTTACACTGAATGATCTGAACTTGTGTCCTATAAAATTCCTACTAAGAATTAACACAAAACGAAAATCTGTTTATCATATTTTACATGCGGTTTTTAGAGGTGTTTTTTCTATATTTTATTTTAATTAATTGTATAAGAAGTTTAAGCATCCGCAAACTGTTGTAATCTATTAAGTTAAACCAGCTCAACATTACAATTTTTTTGGTTAGCAAAATGCATAACAGGTATCAAAATGTGAGTGGTATACCTCAAGGCTACATATAATGTTATGCAACAGTAAGCTTTATAATTTTATCATGTAGTCTGTTTTAAATCAGTTGACATAAGGTAAGGTACATATTGTATTTTGAATTAAAGGGAGACCACTTCTCTGGGACATAATGTAACTGGACAAGCAATGAAGATTAGCGAATGGAATCTGGTTGTCACTTTTAAGAATATATAGCATTTTTTCAAGCTCAATTTTTGTGAAAGCAAATTCTTTTTGGAAAGGGGCTATGATGCGTTATTTCAGGCAAGGTTGATCTTGCATAATCTAAATGGAAATAGGTTTTAGGAATGGTATATGTATAATGATAGTTTTACTCAATTATGACATATAGAAAAACAAGATCATTCATCACAACTTGTGGACCTTTAAGTCCTACCATGTCAAGTTCTAACTCATAAACTACATGCCTTTCCCCGGGCTCTTTAAGCACCGCGCTCCCACTGTGCCTTAATCTCCAAATCAGTCTCACCGCTGTGCCATAAAAGTCACCACGGCGCTTGATTTTTCCGGTCCCTATAGTTCAGTGGTTTACAATTTAGAATAGCGCATAAACACTACGCACGCGTTGTCAATCAGCGCGTGTGATAACGGATTTACAGGTTGTTAAGAGGGGCAATTAATAATCAGTATGTGCAAAAATCCGTCGGTCCTGGCTAAATTAAAAAGAAGTTGTCCTACCGTCAGAATAAAATTTCAAGAAACTAAAAATATCAATGACCTGTTTGATAATAAGTTCCCGGTGACGCAAAGAAAGTTGTTAAAGAAATTGTCTTCAAAAAGGTACATCAGCAACGCTAAAGTTTGCCGTAAATTACCAATTTTAAAATTTTGTTTTACTATGTCTCTCGAAATTGCCGATGACTAACAATCTTGAATTAATAAAAAAATATTTAATTTAATATACTAGTCAAAACCAACAACTTGAATTGTGAATGCTGTTTGCAGGAAACAGACAAAATTTCACTTGTCACATATTTTCGCGATGCCGCTTTTTATGATTTTAAAAAGGTAACCAAAATGAAGCTGTGTTTTATTAAAATGTGTGTAATAACACTTAAAATGTAGTTTATGAATTAAGATTACTTATGGTATTGTTTACATTCGTTGAGATGGAGATATTTGCCAATATCACATACTTATGGGAGGGGGAGTGTGGAGTGAATCTAGAAGAAAACAGCATAATGTTCTGATGATCTAGGGTATTAGAAATTAAATATCAGATCTTTTCAGTCATTTTTTAGCTCACCTGTGCTTGCTCAGGGTGAGCTTTTAGGACCGTTGAATGTCCGCCGTCCGTCCACATTTGTTCGTTAACACTCTAGCGGTCACATTTTTGGCACAATCATCATCAAACTTTGTCAGGATGCTTGTATATGTAATTGCTCGGAAGAGTTCGAACATGGGTCATCTCGAATGAAAAACTAGGTCACAGGAGATAAAAATAGAAAATCTTGTTAACAATAACATTCTAGTGGCTACTGTTTTGATTCAGATATCCTGGAAATTGGTCTGAAAGTTTGTTTTGATGATTTCTAGGTCAAGTTTAAATATGGGTCACCTGGGGTTAAAAACTAAGTCACACCGCCCAAATATGGAAAAACTTGTTAACACACTAGTGGTCATATTTTTGACTCAATTGTCATCAAACTTTGTCAGGATGCTTGTCTAGGTAATTGCTTGAATGAGTTCGAACATGGGTCATCTTGGATGAAAAACTAGGTCACAGGAAATAAAAATAGAAAAATCTTGTTAACAATAACATTCTAGTGGCTACTGTTTTGACTCAGATATCCTGGAAATTGGTCTGAAAGTTTGTTTTGATGATTTCTAGGTCAAGTTCAAATATGGGTCACCTGGGGTTAAAAACTAGGTCACACCGCCCAAATATGGAAAAACCTTGTTAACACTCTAGTGGTCATATTTTTGACTCAATTGTCATCAAACTTGGTCAGGATGCTTGTCTAGGTAATTGCTCGAATGAGTTCGATGGGTCAGGTGAGCGATCTATGGCCCTCTTGGTCCTCTTGTATTATCTCATTTTCTATGATATTTTTGTTGCGACAAAAAGTTGCAGCTTACAGTAGAATTAAAACCTAGCCAGAACTTGCATTCAAATATGTCATTTTTACAGTGAGATTTGGTGCGATGGATCATTACTGGATGCTGTACAAAATGCTAGACTCTATCAAGATTCGAAAACTTTTGTGGACATGAATCTCAAATATGACCCTGGTAAGCCGATGTTTTTGTTGTTGTTGTTTTTTTTCATTTGCTCCAAACAATGCGCTAAACTTCTAAAATCTTGACCTGCATGAACACATTAGCAATGGAACGTTTCCGTTCAACTTGTAAACATAAAAATGCACGCGTTTTTAAGTCCGTTTTAATGAGGTCCTTAAAAATATCAAAATAACAACTTGAAATTAAGAGTTATCTAAACATTCAGATTTTGTATAATAATGCATGTATCCCCTTTGTATTACATAAATTGAAAAAAGAACTTTATATGAAAATTTGCACAATTTTGTTTGAATGTTAAAGTTTTCTACGCCGTTGTCGGTAGATTTTTTGTTTAATTTGTATAGACGTAGTGCTGTCAGCATTTCAAAACATCAGTCAGTCCGGCCTGCCGACGAAACCGGAAATCACCAAGTTTCTCGAAACATACTTTGAAGGCCCCAATAAGGAATTTGAAAAGTGGAACCCTACCGACTACGTTGAAAGGTAAGGAAATGGTATCTTTTTATCCAAATTATACAACCACCACCCCCCCCCCCCCCAAAAAAAAAAGAGAGAGAGAGAGAGAGAAATGCGATACATTTGCATTGATGTTCGTAAGATTAAAGGGTTAAAGTTATGTTTTAAAAACTATTCAAATGGCTTCTTTAATGAGACATAAAAAGTAAATTTCCAGGTCGGTGCAGGTCATTTTCCTTGTGAGTGATCTTGAAATATATTCTACGGTCATTCATACTGTACCCCGAGGAGTAATATCATTTCCTTGCGAAAAGTGAAAGTAAATTGCTTGTGAGTATGTCCAGGAAGGATGCGGTGTCTGAACTGGGCTCTGGCGAATTCAAAGTGGCATATACTGCCATGATCCGGAGAGTAAACTACAAAAATCACCATAAAATTACTAAAATGTATATAGTCTGTTCAGTTGTATCTTAAATAAATACTATCTACGGATTATTCATGACCGGAAAAAAAAAACTCGTACATGTTTTTGGCAATATTATATTTTTTGTAACTATATACGCTTCTTAAATAGCCAGCATTGAGTTATTCAATTTCAATTCATCTTTTTAGTCCTGCATTTTTGGATAAAGTAAAGGACAAAGAGCTAAGAAGATTCGGGAAAGATTTGTGTAAAACATGGGGACATCTGGGTAGAAAGGTTAGTGTTTTTTAGTCACATGACTTAGATATTTCATTGATCTTCCACGGTTTCTTTGCAAACCTTTCTTTCGTCTGGACATTTTTTAAGAATTAAGTAAACTTAAAGGCGCATAAGGCCTCGCAAATGCTTTTATATTTATTTCTCATTTGGTGCACTGCTGCGATTTTCAAAAAAGAACTTATAGGTTATAAAGCTGAAAAGTCTTTTGTTTCTTTTTGCCCTTGGCAGTTAGATCGGTTATAGTGATTTATTATTTTGTATTGAAGCCAGAATAACACTTTATTTAGATTTTGTAACCTTAATTATAAATATTTCACATTCAGCGCTTCTTTTTTCAGATAAAACAAGATGTAAAAACCAACCAGGAGAGATATTCTCTTATCTACCTGGATAACCCATTTATTGTACCTGGCGGAAGGTTCAGGGAGACATATTACTGGTAACACATCGTTAATCATCGGACAATTTCGTTAATCATCGGACATTTTCGTAACCCTACTTTTCTTTTACAACATGTAGTTTATGATTCACGAAATGACCACATTATTATTTGTTTAATGTTGAACCACCGACTTTATGTAAAGCTATAATTTAAGCCCTGAAATATGTTTTGAGACCATTTGTGAGCGGAAGTCAAGTACAAAAAGTATTGAAAAGGCATGTTTAAAAATATTACAAATTTTCATTGACAGATCTGAAATAACGATTTTGATTAACGTTTGTTGAATCAAAATATGCTCGATTACTAGCTCTTTAATTCTTTCCTTTGAATCCAATTAAAGTTTCTTAAAAAAGCACTTTCAAATATTAATGACTTTGCATATTTGAATATTGAACAGGGACTCTTACTGGGTGATCAAAGGTTTGCTGATTTGTGAAATGAAAGTTACTGTCAAAGGAATGCTGGAAAATTTTATATCTCTGATCAAACAGTAAGTCACTTAGTCTTATTATGTAAGTTCTTTGGTGTAATCCGGAAAAAATCCTTACATATATAATTGGGCCGTGTCACGACAAAACCAACATAATGGCTTTGCGACCAGCATGGATCCAGACCAGCCTGCGCATCCGCGCAGTCTGATCAAGATCCATGCTGTCCGCTTACAAACTCTATAACAAGTAGAGAAACTGATAGCGAACAGCATGGATCTTGATCAGACTACGCGGATGCGCAGGCTGGTCTGGATCCATGCTGGTCGCAAAGCCATTATGTTGGTTTTGTCGTGACACGGCTCTATTATCTTTATTATTCATAAAAAAATTGATATTGAATGCAATTTTAAAGGTCAGTTATATTAATTTTATATCTCTAAATTTTTTATTAATTTTGTTGTACTTCAATAGTGTTCAAAATGTTTCTCATTGACCAATTACCTGAACCATCTTATGCTTTTGCTGCTTTTTGGCACTTAGTACACTTAAACTGATTTAGTACTTTGTACGAAAGTCAAAATACTACTTTGCTCACACTTTGCTTCTTTTAAAGCAGCACGCCTCCAGATTCATGGTAATTTTCATGAAAATTTGAAAATGTATTTAACAGTACCAAAAGAATGCAATTTACACATTATAAATGGCACTTTTAACCCATGTAAATTACCATTAAAAGGTCAAAGTATGCCAAATTAGCCCTTACTGCGTCAGTAACGCAGTAGAAATATAGTTATAAATACTGAAAAATTGGTCATTAGTCGCATATAACATGTAGATTATTACTAGAATTTTTAATCTTAATACTCGTCCTAAAATCTTGGTACATTTTTCTCAGGTTTGATTTTATCGAAATATGTTTGCTCATCTGGAGGCGTGCAGCTTTTAAACAAATAATTTTATATTCAGCCCTTTCATCTTCAGAAATTAAACATCTAATATCTTAAATCATTAGTTAATCGCTTAATCGCTATAAGAAAAAAAAAACAATATTTGAAGAAAAAGTGAAAAGAAGGAAAAAATATTCGTTTCTGATGAGTAATGTGCCTTTAAAGATGATGATGAGGTGATGACAATGATGAATTGATTATGACTATGTTCATCATGATAAATATGTTGATGATAATGATAAATTGATGGCAATGGCAACGATGATGATGATGAGTGGTTATATATTGTAAGTGTTTTCTAAACTAGTACACACGAGAGATTAACATAAAAAATAACATTTGAGCCGTGTCACGACAAAACCAACATAATGGGTTTGCGACCAGCATGGATCCAGACCAGCCTGCGCATCCGCGCAGTCTGATCAGGATCCATGCTGTTCGCTATCAGTTTCTCTACTTGTAAAAGAGTTGGTAAACGAACAGCATGGATCCTGATCAGACTGCGCGGATGCGCAGCCTGGTCTGGATCCATGCTGGTCGCAAACGCACTATGTTGGTTTTGTCGTGACACGGCTCATTTTATTTTCAGATATGGAATGATCCCTAATGGAAACCGTATATACTATACAAGACGTTCACAGCCACCATTTCTCATTCCTATGGTAAACTTGTACATAGAAACAACCAATGATACCGATTTTCTCAAAGAAAATATTCCGTACTTGGTGGATGAATACCTTTTTTGGATGACAAACCGAAGTGTAGAGTATACTGACGTACATGACAAAAAGTTCGTACTAAACAGATATGCAGCTCCTATAACAAAACCGAGGTAAACTTTAAATTATTTCATGTATATAAGAAATCTATATCATGAAATTAAAGCATTTTAGTGTAATTTTAAATATCTTGAAAGAATATAACATAGAAGGTAGAAATAGCTCTTTATTAATTCTTTGTCAGAAGTCAAGGCAGATTCGTTAAACATTTCATTTCCGGTTTGTTTTATGTATGTTTAAAAGAGAACTTTGTTCAATGTTTTGCTGTACATGAGCGAGTTTGTTTTATATATTTCAGACCGGAGTCTTACACTGAAGATGTTTCAACTGCAAACAAACGATCAAATGGTAAAAAATATACACAATTTCGTCTTTTAATAATATCAAATAATAATAATAAATTAACGCAGATCAAATAAACTTTAACGTTTTCAGGTGTGTGATACGTACTACGGTAAAATAATCTCTAAGACGTAAAATTATTTCTGAAACGTAAAATTATCGTTACGGGACGGGAAGTTAGCTCTAACACGTAAAGTTAGCTCTAACAGGTGATGTTAGCTCTGACACGTGTCTCACGTGTGCATTTAGCTCTGACACATGTTATCTTACATCATGCATCGGCGTTTTACGTCCATTACATGCCGTCAACACATAAAATAATGTCTGTGTTTGAAATTATTTCTTGTAATATTTTATATTTAAAAAAGCTATAATCGGAAGAAATTTTTTTATTGTCAGTACCACCAGAGAAAATGTACCAGAATTTGGCATCTGCAGCAGAATCCGGTTGGGATTTCTCTTCTCGTTGGTTCTCACGAGATTTTCAAGGCAAGACGTCTGACGTCAGCAGATGGTTGAGTTACACAGATACAACGGATGTTATTCCTGTAGATCTAAACAGCATAATGTGCTGGAATGAAATGTTGCTGTCAAACTTCTATAAAAAGTTAGGTAAATTCAAGTTTTTGCTCTTTTTTAATTTGCATTCTTTTCATTTTTAGCCTGACTCGAAGAAAAAAATATAGAGGTAATGCAACAGTCATGTGGGCGTTGTCGTTGCCGTCCGCAAATTTTAACTTTTTAAGTTCTTGGTGTATTGTCTTCATACTTGGCCATAAAAAAATCGAGCATTGCCCTAGTCCAGAGATGGCTCTTGTTTTGCTGTAGACTTTCAGCGAAGATGTGCAATCATATCTCAAACTCTACAAATCCCGTCTTTCTTTTCCATGTTATGTTTGTTATAATAATGCTGATACAAGATTGAATTATATCCGAGACCTACTGTAATAGGTTATGTCCCAAATGTTTTTATTAAGTACATGTATATCTGCATACATATTTCCGAACAAAACTTCGCTTCATAACTTTGGATAACTTTGTTTTATTTATAGATCTAAATGTTCACATGCCACAATGTATCGAATGAATCACGTATCAAGAATTTGGAAAAAAGTTAAGTAAGAAATAATGTTTAGCTAGTTTTAAATATGTAATTATACGATTATTATACATTTTAATTTGAGCAGGTCAACAAAACGCCACTAAGTACTATCAGGAACAACAGAAAACCAGGCAAGAAGCCATGATGTCTGTATTTTGGGATGAACAGCAAGGGACTTGGTTTGATTTGTCTTTGGCGGCAAAAAGCAGGCGACAAAAGTTTTTCCCCTCTAACATTTTCCCGCTGTTTGTCGGTTGCTATGACGTCAATGATAAAACTATAGAATCTCAGACTTTAGCATATTTGCAGGTATATTCTAAATATAGAGGATATTGAATGAGTGTAGGTTTAATACTAAATTTATTGAACGAGTTGAATAAAATCATTTATTTTATGCTTTTCAGTGGATTACTGATTTATCCGTGAAAATTATATTTGATAATTTCACAGTGAAAATTATCAAAATATAATTTCACTTTTTTCAATGACGAAACTACTTTTTTAAGATTTTCCCCATGTGGTACCTCAATTTTATTTTTACTGACAATTTTGACAATGTCAGGCTGTTAAAAGAAACAGCAAAGCTGAAATAGATAAATAACATAAATGTCAAAAGTAATAAAGAGAGAAAACTTACTTCTATTCATTCATATTCCAATCACCAAATTTCGTCTGTCAACACTTATTTTTTGTCTGTTACAATCCTCAAATAAGTTTTCTTTCTTTTAAAAAGGTGTATGACTAACAAATCCAAATTATATCCCTCTGAATCTTACACAATTATTTTCCTCCCATGAAATACACAACTTTAAAAAATGGCTGCCGCTTACATTTTACAAAGCCAGGTCTAATATAAATTCGCAGTAAGTAACAGAAATATGGATGGATGGTTGGACTTTTTCTTCTACAAGAATTGTTTGTTTTTATTATTACAACAAGCGATCATTCATGCATATCTTTTTAATAAAATGAATAAATATCACCGTCATTTATCCTTGATTGGCGGACTTATTTTTCAGCTCAAGACTTCTTGTTTTTAATGTGAAATTCCGTCTAAATGGGGCTCTCAATGGGGGAAACAAATTTTAATATTAACGTTAAAATTATGGAAATTTCGTTTTAACTCGTTTTTAAGCATAAAATAAAAAGAAAATTTGTCTGTTTGTTGTGTAAGATGTAATTTTATTTCATCTCGTGAACTTTAAAAACAGTATTCTCACTCGTGGCTACGCCACTCGTGAGAATACTGTTTTTAAAGCCCACTCGATGAAATAAAATTTCATCTTACACACAAACAAACAAATATCCTCTATATTATGCGAGCCACTGGCGAGCATAATATTGTTTTATTCAACGAGTTCAATAAATTTAGTATTGAATCTACACGAATATAATATTCTATTTATCACAGATATAAAATAAGAACGGTAAACTGTTAACAAAAGTCATTTTTCTTTGACGAGCCTATAGTGTAACGCTAATATTAGCGCGCTTTAACGCTATGTTTATAGTGCAAATGACGTGACGTCAAAGTGTTATTACACTAGTGTAATATTGTCTAGTGTAATATCGTTTTTATTAAATGGCTTTATGACACTCCTGCGCCGCGGTTTATGTGATAAACTCTTTTACAAGTTACTTTGTACATGTATATATTAGTGTAAGTAAATGTCCTCTAGAAATCTGCTTATTTAAGTGCAAAAATGAGATACTAATAGTAATTTACAAATAAGCACTATTTTCACGAATATCAAAACGAAAATATTTAAATAAAATTTAAAAGGAATGGGAGCAAATGTTAGACAAGGTCATATGGCGGCTATCGATCTTTACTGGTGGAGGATTGGAAGGGGGAAGTGCTTTGAAGCCAACGACCCTAACCACTAGGCCACGGAAGAAGTTGTATTGCAAGGGAGAATAATTACAAAACCATCAAAGGGCATATAATCGACATAATGTGACCTACATCATGCATTATAAATCAGGTACAATATTTTCTTCAAGTCAATTTTTATGTATAAAACAATGTGCCCTTTTTGTTTACAACAGGATCAGAAAGTTCTCAAATACGTGAGCGGGGTACCAACCTCCCTGCTCAATACAAGACAGCAATGGGATTTCCCTAATGCTTGGCCCCCGCTTCAAGATGCTGTAGTTACTGCACTCACTAACAGTGATCTACCGGAAAGCCGTCAAATAGGTCTTCACCTAGCCTCACTCTGGGTACAGAGTAATTATATAGGCTGGAATAGGACGGGAAACATGTTTGAAAAGGTTTGATCAATTGAAAAATGTTTTGCTTTAGAAAGAGAATAAACAAAACTGATTAAAATGTGGCTGCATTGACCTTTGTTCCGTTTGTTTTACATTAGATTTAATAATTTCGATAAAGCATTCATAAATTTTGTTTTCTTGATATGTTACATTCAGAGTTTCCTTGTCGTCTTTCAAACACAATTATGACATGTCTTCGTTAAAATCTGACAATAATAATTTTGTGGGTGATTTTTTTACAGTATGTTGTTACAGCCAAAGGTTCAAGAGGAAGCGGAGGTGAATATGACGTGCAGGTATTACTGAAGAATATTTAATTATATATACATGTATTCAACGAAAAAAATGTCACTCAATAATAAACCAAAAACCTTTTTCAAATTGTATAACTGGCAGTGTTGATAATCCGAGTATATGCCAGAGTAATAAGGACACAGAGTTACAATGCCTTGTCAAGTTGCCATCCTCTATCAGCATACTGTCACCCCACATGTGAACACTATATTATTGGTTACTATTTTTGGACCACGAAAATGAAGTATCAAAATGGCCGACGGCCCACAACAACTATTTTGCATGGTGGGCGGTTACCTTTTTCACAAACCTCTGGTCACTTTATTTTTATGAATGTTCACATAGTGTAAGTTCTACAAATTATCATTTTTGCTGGCAATTTTATTTTAATTCATATACATTGGTTTATTTGGTGTTTTGTAAATATTGAGTTTTTAACATGGTTAACTTGGGATGTGTCTTACAACTTTTCGGGGACAATGATTTTATGTATTTAAAAAAAGAAAACTTAAAGTATGTACCTTCACAGAATTTATAAACTCATTTGACATGTATTACACATCTAATTTTTCTTTCCATAGGAGGGATTTGGCTGGACCAACGGTGTTATTTTGGATTTTCTTAACCGTTTTGGACAGAATTTACCGGTAGATTACACGACAAGTAACGGCAACGGAAATTATTTACCACAGAATCTGGTGTTAAAAACTATTCTGATGACAATAGTATTATTTTGTTTAACTTACTTTATCACCAAACAAATGCTGCTATAAAATCCGCTGTTAGTGAAAATGCAAAATGAACAATATTCATGGGATTGTTTTTATTATTTTGATTCAATCAATAAATTGTCTATCCGTTTGAATGAAGAGTAGTAATATATTTTGTTGGAATATTTAAGACCACATTGTTGTCAAAAAAACAGGAGTTTTTAAAATACATAATGTATCAAGATATTCAATGTCATCAACAATGTAACAACTCCTTCAATTACATCTGTACACCAGATATTCAGGATTTATCAACTATAAAACGAACAAATACAAGGCTTATGGTATAATTTAATATAACAAAATGGAAGATTTTTGTTTTGTTTTAACAATTAACTGGTATGATAATCTATATCTAAAGAAACATTTATTACAATTAAATATCTTATACATCAGAATACATTGTCTATACTACACATGGGCAATTTTTTTCATTTTTGTAATAAAAATATATAAATGTCTTACACATGTCTTAATATATAAGGAATATCTAAAAAATATCTATGTAGTACATGGCTTTTATAATTATAATTATTCTCAAATACTAATCATAAATGTACAATGTATTATACGTAAAAAATTTAATGAATGGATTTTACGAAAATCTACATATTGAAGTAGCAAGTATTCAATTTAGTTACTTTTTCTCATTTAAAGTACATGTAAATAATTAAGATGTTATTTGAAATGTCCTGTAACAAGGGAAGACAATAAATACATGAATTTTCAACAAGAAACAAGAACAACACAAATCTTTTGGTCATCTTTCAACACACAATCACCCATAAATTTCAAACAATTACAAAATATATATATATATATATCAACTAGAAAAGTTTCCATAGCACACTTATGCCCCCAGCCACTTCATTTTGCTTTTGCTGTCACAGTGGTATAATAACAATATTTATGCATATTTTATGAAGGTCAAGTGTTGTATCAATAAGTAATACAAGTATTATGGTATTATAATTAATAAATTTCAACAAACTGTTTGACTGAGGGAGCTGTTGTTCTTGATTAAATATCAAGTATTTCACACATAACTGTGACCTTGAGTCTTATGAACTTAAAGTCAAAAGGGATTTCCTGCGGGACATGAGCAATTACCTCACTTAAGTTACATGTATTGATAAGACAAAATATATAGTGTCACTGTCACTGACCTGTGACCAAATGACCTCAAAATAAACAGGTAGCATCTTCTGAAAAAAAGGTAATACCCCTATTTAGTAATCAATTACGATAGATTTTATTAAAATAAGTTCAGTCCATGTATGATCTTAAACAACAGGCTTAAAAGAAAAATATTAAGGGCTGTCAAGGGCAATAACTCTGGTTGTTGGCAGTTAATATTGTAAATTGTTATTTTTAACATTCTGGCAAGAAATTTCAGACTATTGAGCACATAACACTTCTTTTAAAGCTTGTTCCCAATATTAAGAATGTTAATATTTTTATGGCAAAGGAAATAACATAAATGTTTTCAAATAATATAAAACCTTTTCTTATATGTATCTCCTATGGGAAACTACAAACAAACATGTAAAGAAATACAAGGAAAAAAATAATATTGGCAAAAGAAACCCATAGGTAAAACTTAAACCACAAGTAAACAAGATATGTTTGTAAAACATGTATGCCCCCTATCAGCAGCCAATGAGTCATGTGATAAGGTTATTATGCATGACTTCTGACCCCGTGATCAAACAATTAATAAGGGTTATCAAGTATAACTGGTCATGACCTTAACCTTTGACCCTTAACCCCAAAATCCAATAGGGGTCATCTGCTGGTCACGACCAATCATCATACAAAGTTTGAAGTTCCTAGGCCTAAGCTTTTTAAGTTAATTGATCGGAAACCGTTTTAACATACAAGGTCGATGTGACCTTGACCTTTGACCCCTTGACCCCAAAATCAATAGGTTATCTGCTGGTCATGACCAATCACCATACCATGTTTGAAGTTCCAAGGCCAAAGGGTTCTTAAGTTATTGATTTGAAAGCATTTTTACCTACAAGGTCAATGTGACCTTGCCCTTTGACCCTTAACCTCAATATCAATAGGGGTCATCTACTGGTCATGACCAATCACAATATCAAGTTTGAAGTTCCTAGGCCTAAGGGTTCTTTAGTTATTGATCGGAAACCGTTTTTACCTAAGAGGTCAATGTGACCTTGACCTTTGACCCCTTGACCCCAAAATCAATAGGGGTCATCTACTGATCATGACCAATCATAATATCAAGTTTGAAGTCCCTAGGCCTAAGGGTTCATTCATAATTGATCGGAAACCGTTTTTACCTACAAAGTCAATATGACCTTGACCTTTGACCCCTTAACCCCAAAATCAATAGGGGTCATCTGCTGGTCATGACCAATCACCATACTAAGTTTGAAGTTCCTAGGCCTAAGGGTTCTTTGGTTCTTTTGTTATTGATCGGAAATTGTTTTTACCTTCAAGGTCAATGTGACCTTGACCTTTGACCCCTTAACCCCAAAATCAATAGGGGTCATCTGCTGGTCATGACCAATCACCATACCAAGTTTGAAGTTCCTAGGCCTAAGGGTTCTTTTGTTATTGATCAGAAACCGTTTTTACCAAAAAGGTCAATGTGACCTTGACCTTTGACACCTTGACCCCAAAATCAATAGGGGTCATCTACTGATCATGACCAATCACCATACCAAGTTTGAAGTTCCTAGGCCTAAAAGTTCTTTAGTTATTGATCCGAAACCGTTATTGCTTACAAGGTCAATGTGACCTTGACCTTTGACCCCTTGACCCCAAAATCAATAGGGGTCATCTACTGATCATGACCAATCACAATACCAAGTTTGAAGTTCCTAGGCCTTAGTTCTTTAGTTATTGATCGGAAACCGTTTTTGCTTACAAGGTCAATATGACCTTGACCTTTGACCCCTTGACCCCAAAATCAATAGGGATCATCTACTGATCAAGACCAATCACCATATCAAGTTTGAAGTTCCTAGGCCTTAAGGTTCTTTAGTTATTGATCTGAAGCCGTTTTTGCTTACAAGGTCAATGTGACCTTGACCTTTGACCCCTTGACCCCAAAATCAATAGGGGTCATCTACTGATCATGACCAATCACCATACAAAGTTTAAAATTCCTAGGCCTTTAAGTTCTTTAGTTATTGATCGGAGCCCGTTTTTGCTTACAAGGTCAATGTGACCTTGACCTTTGACCCCTTGACCCCAAAATCAATAGGGATCATCTACTGATCATGACCAATCACCATATCAAGTTTGAAGTTCCTAGGCCTTAAGGTTCTTTAGTTATTGATCGGAAACCGTTTTTGCTTACAAGGTCAATGTGACCTTGACCTTTGACCCCTTGACCCCAAAATCAATAGGGATCATCTACTGATCATGACCAATCACCATATCAAGTTTGAAGTTCCTAGGCCTTAAGGTTCTTTAGTTATTGATCGTAAACCGTTTTTGCTTACAAGGTCAATGTGACCTTGACCTTTGACCCCTTGACCCCAAAATCAATAGGGGTCATCTACTGGTCATGACCAATCACCATACCAAGTTTGAAGTTCCTAGGCCTTAAGGTTCTTTAGTTATTGATCGGAAACCGTTTTTGCTTACAAGGTCAATGTGACCTTGACCTTTGACCCCTTGACCCCAAAATCAATAGGGGTCATCTACTGGTCATGACCAATCACCATACCAAGTTTGAAGTTCCTAGGCCTAAGGGTTCTTTAGTTATCACTCGGAAACCATTTGGTCTACGGACCGACGGACCGACGGACCGACAAGTGCAAAGCAATATACCACCTTTTCTTCGAAATGGGGGCATAATAATAAAGGAAACGAAAACAAGATACATTTAACAAAGAAATCTGAACAAAAAATATGCATGAATACTAAGACTAGAACTAAACTGTACATATAGCACCAAGAAATCAGCGCCAAATGACAAACATGTTATCATTTATGGCAAAATAAAAAACAAAATTGAACCAACATTCATTCAATATTGCACAACTTTCATACTACATGTATTACATAAAGAGATCATTTTGCTGGCTTATTGTAAAACTATTGAATATCCATATTTATCATACGAGCAAAGCTTAAGTTTTGTTATGGTATAACAATGTTAAAGGGACTCCACTGAGGTTTTTTGACATGACTGGACTGGAAATTATTTTTCGAGATTTGTGTTACATTTTAAGTAGGTAAAGACAAAATCTTATGAGGAAAATTTCCGAACATCCACTCAAAGTGTTTTTCCACCTGAATTTATTCAAGTTGTGAAATATGATCTAAACTGAAAAAAGCATTGCAACACTTTTCTTTCAAATCAGGCTAAGATTATAACACAAAAAATATGATTTTTGATTAATTTCTGAGTATATTTCTTAACAGTCTTTTGCACAATATTATCTTTCTGTTTTAAGTGTCCCGGTTAATTTATATAAGCAATTCAAATTTTTTGACTTTAGGCTTTTGGAACTAAGTGGAGTTCCTTTAAAGCATAATTTTAGATCAGTGTTCTAACAGCTATATCAATCACTTCACAACTTGCTATCAGGACTGTTTAGTTCTCGTGGGACACATATTACATAACACAGTGTCAACACCTGTAAATAGAAATCCAACGACCCTTTTTTTTTTTAGAATTGCAAAGACAAAGATTATTTCCTGGTTTTTACCATGATTTCCTCCAAAAATTTTACTGTTTTCAACTATTTCAAAAATTTTACTGGTGATTTAGATAAATTCAAATATGTCATGTCATAACATTAAAATATTTAAATAAAATAATACAATCTAAACATAAGGAAATAATATGACATAATTATGATTGAATTAGATAGAAAAATAAAGAAACAAAATATAACTTAAAGCTACTGTAACATAAAAGATGGCACTTCATTAAGGAATATTCTAACTTGAGGAAATGGCACAAATTGCTTTATTTTGCTCTAAAAACTTTTAATTATAATCTTAAACATTATTATCACAAACTCATGCCGCTTTTGCGACTATAAAAATGGTA